TAATAATAAAAACAAGCCATTACATTGGCATTTAGCAATGTCATTGCTATTACAGTTATTACTTTAGTTTTTTTCTTTTATTTTAAGATTAAAATAAATTTACTTTTATCTATGTAAAATGTTGCGTTACATTTGTTGTTTGTTTTTTTTTTTTTGTTTTTTTGTTTTTAGTTTTATTTTATTTCTCTCTTTCTTTTTTTGTTTTGTTTAATTGAAGCTGGTTGTTTCTTTATCTCCTTCATCCTCTTCCGTGTTTTATGCATGAGTTTTATGTAAGTGTATTATTTACTATTTTTTTATATGCATTTTCCTCCTCTTCTATTACTTCTGGTTGTGTATTATTATTTTAATTTAAATGATTTTTTTTGTTTTTGTTTGCAAATTGCTTTAAATTAATTATGTAATTAATTTAATATAGTGTGTGTGTATGTGTGTGTGTTTATTTGTGTGTATATATGTATCAATGTATTTAATTATATTTAATTTTTGCCAGTTGTGTTTGATTTTTTGTTTTGTGTTGTTTTTAATTTTTTAATTTTTAATTTCTCTTATTTTTGTGTTCCCACTCTCTCCAACATGTATGTGTGTGGGTGTATGTGTATATCTATGTGTGTGTGCATAGGTTTCTGTGTACTGTGTTGATTGATTATATAAATATATGCATATATATCTGAGCATTCGCCACTGTTTTCATGATGAGTGAGCGCGGGCCGGGGCAAAGTGGCTGCATATATATCATACATATGATATATATAATATAGATATATATTGTACATATATTTGCGTATGTTGCTATTGCCCCTATGAATCTGCAAATAAAATTAAAAAAGAAACAAAAAAAAACAAAAAATATTTTAATAAAATTCAATGAATTTAAATGATACAAACTTATAACAAAATAAATATATATGAAGCTAGCAACATATGAATACAAAAATATATATGTTTGCAGGTCAATTAAACAGCTAGCACAGGATATACCAAAGATCGAAGGGAACTAGGATAGAAAATACAAGAGCGAAAATTGAGGACGATAATATTCGGCGTGCCGAGACATATCTGGGTGTTTACCCTATTCGAATAATAATAAATTTCAAGTTGAATACAAAATATTTTGAATGAAACACTGCTATGGAAGGTAGAGAGAAAGCAAGATAGAAACATGCAAAGTTGACATACATAGAAGCAGACAATGGACTTGGGAGAGGGTGAGATAGATGTCTAAAATGGATTGGTTCGCTCAACCTATGTACTCTGCTATATTGATATATGTGTAATATCAAACTGACTCTATACTAATAGACCTCAATCATAACTAGCAATGAAGCTATCTTCACGCTCATGATAAAAGCAAAATAGAAATGACAGCTCAAGCTGGGAATCGATGAAAATAAAAGACCAGCCTAAAGAAAACTCGCTCAGCGGATAAATAGAGATATAACTACTTTAATTCAGAACATCTTCGTTAGATTTAAATTTTGCATTTGGATTTTGGATTTCACTGGATAGCGAATTGAATGTCTCTGTTGGCCAAAGTCGAGCCGAAATGAATTCGAATTTCAACGTAGTTTGGGTAATGCAGCAGTGGTTTGAGTCAATACTGTGTTGCAATACGGTCTCGCATCGAATCGAAGCTACGATGCAGTCGGCTGCCATACATGTCTGGAATGGGGGTTTCGACATGGTATTGTCTGGTTTGAATTTGATCTTGAGAGGCTTCAGCTGAATGTGAACGGTTCTTGCGTTGGCTCCTCGTCAAGTTTGCTAAATGGAACGATTTAATGAATTTGGGCAAACGATTCTCAGCTAAAAGCAAGCAAACCGAGATTAACACAGAGAGATGAAGATAGAGATATAGGGAGGGGAGAGGGAGAGAGAAACATAAGTAGTGATAGGCTGACAGCTCGTTAGATAGATAGAAATATAGATAGAAAGATAAATAGATAGAGATATAGAAAGACTGATTGATCGATAGATAGATGGATAGATTGATAGAGGCTGATCTATTACTTGCAACTTGCGACTCGCGACCTGTGACGCGACGCGCGGTGCAGCTGGGCACGCGCCTACTCACCTGTTATGTTAGCGCCACCTGCATTGCTTGTGGCAATTGCGCCGGCTGAAGCGGCAGCTGTTGCAGCGCCACCGCCACCGCCGCCGCCGGAGCCAGCTGCAGCCGCATTCGATTGCTGCGCATTAGGAGCGCCTGCAGCAGCTGTGACAGTTGTGGGATTGCCACTGTTGTTGCTGCTGCTGTTGTTTCCCTGGACACCGCCAACGTTAGCGGCGCCACCGGCGCCTGTGCCTGCTGCTGCTGATGCGGGCGCCTGCTGCTGCTGCTGTGACTGCGCGGCGCCATCACCGGACGTGCCACTGCCCGCTGAGGAGACGCTGGTCGAGCCACTGGCCGCAGCGCCGGCCGGTCCTCCAGCCGAGGCGCGATTAGCACTGGCTGCGTGTGCTGCGTTCTGCAGATGCTTTGGCAACAACTGTGGCACTAAGCTAGGCTGTATCGAGAGTTCTGCAACAAAACAGAATGGTCACATATCTGCATATATATTCGCATATCCCAGCGCACTCACCATGCTCTGTGAAGTTGAAAAGTGGCGGCATGTCGCGGCCATTGGGCAAGGTGTGATTGCCCTCCATGCGCAGTTCGTCAAAGAACGGATGTGCACAGGCCTTCAGCGGCGTAATGCGGGCGCTGGGCGTGTACTCGAGCAGCTGCGACACCAAGTTGATAGCTTCTGTCGGAGTGCGTATACGGAAAACCTGTGGAATGGCCAGAATCAAATTAGAATTCAATCATCGGCAGCGGCAGCATCACTCAGCTGTCTTCACTTGGGTAGGGGCAGAGTCAGAACAGGACACGGCATTGAAGGGCGACAAAGCGAAAAATAAATATAAATACAAATATACGGATACACATAGATATACTATATACATATCTATCTCCGAGGCGGCAGAAACGTGGGACAGAAGGCGAGGCACGTTTAATGGAAAAACAACAATCAAGGCAAGCCAAGCCAAGTCAAACTGAATCAAATCAAACCAAATCAAATCAAATCAAATCAAATCAATTTAAATTCAATCAATCAACATGTAAGCCATTTACAAACACTTTTACAAATGCGAGCGCCGCGAATGAACTGAAGCTAAAGCCATATACTATATCGATATCTCGATTTGACGTGATTCATGAGATTTGGATTTGCTGTATTTTGTAAACTCTTTCAGACTCAACTCAACTTCATTTTAAGCTTTCAAATGCGAGTGTAACAGTTACGGAACTGTTCTAAATGCTATACACATATAATTGTTATACAACCTAACTGTTACACAATCATTAGCACACTGTCTTACATCATCATACAAATCGAGTTTGAATTACACCTAGAACTTATAAGCATTCAATTGTTGTACAAGCAAACTGTTATACAATTGTTTGGAAACTCTATTACTGGCCCCATAACCATTATAAATGCTCCTTATACTATTGTACAGACAAACGATACTTCAAACGGTTCTAGAGCTGCCCAAAATACTAAAATAGAACTGTTATACTAGCTAACAAATATTATATAAACTGTTATACTGCTAAGAAAATGTTTTACGATAGATTATGCAAACGTTTCTTGAAAATGCGCATCAACTAATAAGTAAATGCTTCATATGCTATACAAGCTAAAGCTGTTATACGATAGTTAAGATACTATTGAATATTAACATTAGCCTAATCCCGTAGTAATAGCACTTGTCTAGAGCCAATTTCACTGGTATACATAGGGGATTTGCATCATCGGATTTAAGTACTTTCAAGCGTCAGACGACTGTTATAGAGAAGTCATGGAATTTATCTTGTGCGTATGCGCGCGTGTGTGTATGCTTTATATGTGGGCATGGCAGTGCGAATTAAAAAGCTATTGTTTCATCGTAATATTCTTAAGCTGATTGTTTTTGTTTTTGTTTTTTTTCTTTTGGTTTTAAATTTCGTTCGCTTTTGTTTCGGCTTACTCTCAATTGTTGTTTCTGGTTTAGGGCGTTTGGAAATTGGGTGCGTTCGAGTAGTGACTGCAACGAATTGTTATGTACACTTCAATAACGATTTAAAACACACACCAGAAAGAGACTGATAGATAGAGCGAGAGAGTGAGTGAGTGAGAGATAGGTTAGCGTTAGTTTGAGAGAGAGAGAGAGAAAGAGAGATATAGAGAGAGAAAGAGATAGAGAGAGCGAGAGCGAAAGAGGGACACAGATAGAGCGAGAGAGATGACATTCTGCCATGACATTCTTTCAGTTAATCACTCAGCAGAGATTATTAAATTGTTGTGGAGCGATTTCAGATCTTTCAATAGTGTAGAGACTGTTTAGAGTGAGCATTGGTCGATTGAGAGGATTGGGATATACTATACAATTTTTATATATGTATATATACATCTCGGCCGACTTACTTTCTGCCATGGATGACTTTTAATCTGCGGAAACTTGAATTCCGTGTAGTTTGGATTCATTTCGCGTATTTGTTCTCGTGTCGGTGTGCCCAACACCTTGATCACCTCAACCAACTGATCGACACCAGAATCACCAGGAAATATGGGCTGTCCCAGCAATAGTTCGGCCAGCACGCAGCCAGCGCTCCATACGTCTAGAAGCAATCGGAAATTATGTTAGAGATGATTCGAGTATGAATATAAAACAGATATTTTACCGATTTTAGTTGTATAGTTGATGGCGCCAAATATAAGCTCTGGTGCCCGATAATACCGGGAGCAAATGTACGAAACATTCGGCTCACCGTGCAGCAGCTGCTTGGCACTGCCGAAATCGCACAACTTGAGTACGGCCGTTTCAGGGTCGAGCAGCAGATTCTGCGGCTTGATATCACGATGGCAAATGCCTAGCGAATGGATGTATGCCAAGCTTCTGAACAATTGATACATATAGAGCTGCGATAGTCGACAAACGAGAAGGCAGATCGATTAGTTAATAGTTCTCTTAAATGTATATTTCTCAAAAACTCACCCGAATAAAATTGATTGGTATCGTTTGCTTGGTTTTGGCATATTGACGTGCCACTTTGTATACAGTTTCTGGTATATATTCGAGGACTAAATTCAAAAATACTTCATCGCGCTGCAAGAGGAATGCCAATATATAAGTATTAATCAAAGGTTTATTGAGGCGTTTTGTTAGTTTTTTATTGTAATGATCAGGCGAGCTCCAAGCTGCAAGCGGCGGAAAAGTTTGTTGACGGTTGCAAAATTTGACATCAGCATGCGAAATGTGATGTTCGAGGATCAACGATGGCGATAACGATGACGATTCTTAGAATCGAGTACTTGCATTTAGCAGCACTACGAATATACACAAGACATACGTAAATGTATATACACATGTATATATATAGCATCTAGCATCTTAAGGAAAAGTGTTTTCTCGATTTCGGGGTAATGTTTGGGTTCAAAGTGCGGAGTCCGGGGTCTGGGGTCAGAGGTCAGGGTCGACATGCACACACACACTAATCTCTCAAGCTTCTTCTAGCATGCAAACTTTTGCTGCATCTGCACATATTCTTAGACAAAGAGAGATAAATATATAGAGCGCGGGAGCAAGAGAGATGGGAACGGATAACAAAATATGGAATATGGAATAGAGAGTCAGAGAGATAGACAGAGATAGATAGATAGAGAAAGAGAGAGAGAGAGAGAGACAAAGAGCGATAAGCGCATAAGCGCATAAGAGAGTGAACGTTATGAGCGAATCTTTTGAAGAGTTGTCCTCTCTTCATATTCTTGTTCTTGTTCGTTTTCTTCTTGTGATTGCATTTCTTACGTAATACCTGCGGCTTGAGCACAGCGGCTAAAATGCCCAAATCGATGGGAAATTCGGCCAACTAATATCAATCGTCACGATTCGTTCGACATTTATATGTAATATAATAGAAAGAAAATCAATTGAAATATATCATAATAAAGAACATATATATTTATATATAGGAATCGAAAGCCGCAACAACTCTAGCGCAAATCACAGCTGGGAACCCTCAACTCTGATCGTCGTAAATTCTGTTAGATATCCATAGATGAATGCCATATATATTACCTTTTCACCACTCGAATAGAAAAAGTATAAAAGTTTAACAATATTACAATGCTCCAATCTGCGCATTATTTGCAATTCACGATTCTGCAAAGGAAAAAGTTGAAGGTTGAGAGTTATTATATATAAATTTGGGATTCGAGCTCGCAAATCGAGCTACTCACCTTAAATCGTCTGTCCTGTAAAACTTTTTTGATTGCAACCAACTCGCCGGTATCGCAGAGCTTCGCCTGAAAGACGACTCCAAAGCTGCCATTTCCTATGACTTTTGTGTCTGTATAGGAAACTTCTTGAACGCGATCGGTGCCTTGGCCAGGTGTAGCAACGACTGTTGTAATTTTGGAACCATCGCGACCTTTGAGAGCAGGGAATAAAATCAAAGAGAGGCATAAGTATGAGACGTAAATATTGTCAGAAAAAAACAAATAAACTTTAAATTATCGTATATATTTCTTATGTTTATCTATAACATTATATACAATATCATATTAGCCCCGTTTCTTTCGGTATAAACAAGCAACAATTCTGCATCCAGTTAAATGCCATCATTAACAAATAGTTAGATATGTATATCGTTCACATAGTAGACGACAAGACAGTGCCAAGTTGTTGAGAGCAGAGCTCAGTAATACCTATTGTCTCCCAGGCGCCCTCAAGTTTCTCCTTGCTTCTATCAACCTCCTTTGGAATGGACAATGCGACGCTATGCTCGGGCCACAAATCATTCAACTTTCCGATCAATTGTTTCATGCCTGTGGCAGGATTAGATCGAATCGCATCAGTTAAGAGATCGTTGCGAGGGACACACGCAGAGAGGGAGAGAGAGAGAGAGAGAGATTGATATATAGACAAATAAAGGGCACAGAGCTCAGCACACGAAATGAAAGAGCGGGTGAGCGATAAGCAAAGCCAAAGTGGGAGTGACAGAGAGGATCGAGAATTTGGAATTGGAGAAGGATTTTAGTCATGCAAAACATGAAAAGTGTAAACATTTGCTTATCTCTCTTCTGTCTCTTCGCCTTTGTCTTCCTCTTGTTGTTCTTTATCATTTGTTATCATGCTCGTTTGCATATATTATATA